ACCCCCGCGGCCCCGGGGGGGGGGGGGGGGCGGGGGGGGTTACGTAGAGGGTCAGCGGCGGCGGTGGTGGCTTGGGGAAGGCATGTCTTGTCAAAAACCCTACCTCCCGCGCGTGCCGTTTGGGACGAGGAAAGGGGGAGACGCGCATGTGAGAAACTAGAGAGATCCCGGGAACTCATGGCTGGCGGTGGACAAAGCGATGCCTTTGTGGAGGAACATCGTCAGAGATGTTCCGGCGGTCATGGAGAATGGCCGAATGAAACATGAACGACTCCTCATGTACGTTCCGAGCGCGCGGTACGACTCTGCTGATCGGATAAACATTTTCTTGACGATTGCTCTTTGTTGGTCGTCCTGGTCCTGTTCAGCTCATGATTCGGGGGATGATATCTAGAAGACGTTCAAATGATCGGTTGCGCACCAGCAGCTAAACCATCAGCGCCACCAACAACAAGTCTCCTGCTCACCATGACTCGTGCAAACCTCTGGGCCTCTACTTTAGAACGGTCCCAACCGGAAAGGCCGGCCGCATGGAGCGGTCGGTCCTCGTCATTCCTCAGCCCCACAGGTGCATCCCGTGTAGCCCCCGCCGTCTCCCTCGCGAACTCCAAAAGGCGACCGAGCTCCTTGAGAGCCACTTCGAGGTTCTCTCGCGCGAGCCCGGCCAGTTTTGCTTCGGCTTTCGCCCTTGCCGCTTCCTGTTGTATCAAATGCATAGCGTGGGAATAGTAGAACAGAGGTTCGACAGACCTTAAAACAAATTCTATGCATGAATAACAGGGATCTTGGTAAGGAACAAACGGAGCGTATTGGTCTGCTCCGCTCTGTACTTTCCCTGACGGACGACTAGACGCGGGTGGGGGGACACAACCAAACGCACGGCATGCAAGGCATCGTAGAGGAAGGTAAGGGTATGTGGCTACTACAATCACGGCCTACTCACGTAGCAGGTTAATACTTCAAGTATAGGAGCTGCACCAACACCACAACGGCAGCAATCATCATAAAAAAGAAACAACATCAAGCCCACCACCAACAAGCATACCACCACCGCAACCGACAACAGCAACACCAAAAGCGACAACCTGCACAAGAGCCTCCCGCTCATCTTTCGCCTCCGACCTAGCCTCGACAGCCCCCTTCAGGTCCACGGCCAGCCCGTTGCACATCCGTCTCAGCGCCTCCCTCTCTCCCTCCACCTCCCGCCGAAGCGCCCACTCTCTCTCTATCTCCTCGCCCCCAGCCCCTCCTCCCCCCCTTCCGGTTCCTTCCGCCGGACGCTTTCGCCCGCCGGTGGGCACCCCCGTTCTTTCTTCCAAAATAACGCCACCGCCGCCGCCGCCGCCGCCGGCAGTTCTCCTTCCTACACCACCGTCATCGACGGTGATCGACCCCTCCCCCGACGGTCCGTTGTCGCCAACACCACCATGCTCGCCGGTAGAACTTAGTCTCGCCGCGCTTGCTTGGCGGTTGCGCCGCTCTTTGTCCAAGTTTCGCCGCCTCTCCGATTCCGCCGCCTCCGCGCCGAGCCGCAAGATCTCCGCGTGGGCTGCTCCGAGCTGCGCCTTGAACCGCTCGCGCTCCTCCTCCAGCCGTTCAGCGGCGTCTTTGAGGTCTCCGTCGGCCCTCCGGCGAGAAGCTTCTCGCGCGGACTCGACCCGACGCCCCGCTGTTTCCCGGGCATCATTCTGGACCGAATGGGTTAACAGGTGGGGCGAAACAATGTGGAGACAGAGATGAAATGAGAAGGGTTCAGGAGTCCCCGCATCGGGCACGTGCATGAGATATATATATATATATGCATTCATGTAGCTTGGATTTTCTTGGACGAAACATTTGACAGCCAATGATCATCACAAACACGCTTGATGCGGCAGAGAGAGGTTTGAGTAACCGTCGTTGATATGCAGTAGGGCTGCAAAGATAGAGTCGTACGTATGCAACGAAATGAGGTATCCTTAGAGATACCGCACAAGCATAGATATTCGTACTGCATTTTTTTCCGAGACTGACGCACTAGGCTTGGGGTAGGGGAGCATTCTTGGACAAGGCGTACTCATATTTGTCTTCCAGAAAACCACATAGAGTGTGCAGATTTGTGCCGAACACGCAGTAACTAACTGAGCGAGGAAACTCGATATGCGTAACTCTTTGTCGGTACCGTACTACGCAAACCCAGGCCCGCAAAAATGCATACTCGAAGGAGGTGAGCGGCCACGTCGAGATACAGAATGGTGGGAATACCGCAGCAGTGTTCTAGGCGAGGCCACCTGCTGCTCCTGCCGCAAGTTGTGTATATTCACCAAAAGTCCCCCGAAAACGGCAGCACCCTCATCAATCCCCAACCCAACCCACCTCATCCTCTCGCAGTCTTGCCACGAGGGCCCGTAGGGACGCCACCTCCCGCCGGAGATCCGTGGCCTCCTCGCGGACCCCGAGCAAACCGGCCGTTGCCTCCAGGAGTTTTCTCTCGAGCACGCTTTTCCCGTCCACGACCGCCACCGTGGCTGCAGCCGTTGATCCTCTCTGTGGGGCCGCCAAGGCGGCGCCCCTCGCATCACCGGGCGGTGGCAGGCTCCGACGACACTTCTGCGCGTGCGTGCGTGAAACGGAGAGGGTAACATGAAGGTCCGACTCTCGGGAGGCCGGGGGAGGGGGGGGGGGGGGGTACTCATAGTCGTGCATGCCGTAGTCGTTAGACCATTAACCCATTGACCTCGCATCCCTACAAAGCCGGGACGACGGGGGGGAGAAAATACGGGTGCGATCATATCGATGTTCCCCAGCGTGGAGAGCAGAACAACCTTCTACTCTTCGTACAGAACGGCGTTTGGTGAAGATCTTTACCGGACAGTCGTTTTCTGCCGGGCACCATAACACAATAACGCACAACCTCCGAGACGTGGAGTCTCACTCGCCAACAAAATCCCTCCATTCTGTCTCGCTCTAGCCGAGCCGGCTAGCAACTACCCTACATTTCACACACCCCGCCTGTCCCGCACCTGCGCTTCTTGAAGGGCCGGTGCCACGAATTCTGTGTGCCAGCGTTCGAGGGTGGCACGGAGGCGAAGCGTTTCCCCGCGGAGCTTCCCAACGCGACGCTCGCTGAGTTGCAGGCGGTCCTCCAGGTGAGCCTGCTCCTCGCGGCCGGCGATAAGCGCCTGTGCCATGGCCTCCTCGCCGGAGACGCCATGCTCGATTCTCTCAATGCTAGCGGTGGCGTGTCTGCCCTCCACGTCGGGGTTTGCCGAGTACCGGCTGCCGCTCGTGAAGCCGCCGCCGCCGCCGCCGCCGCCGCCGCCGCCGATGCCATCGGCGGGCATCTTCTTGTTCTTCCTTGTCAGCGCCACCGCTGCGGCGTCCGCCGCGCCCGCGCTCCCCCAGTCGAGGACCACACCGCCGTGGAGAGCCAGCTGTAGCATTGCGGTTAAGAGGGAAAGGCGGTGGTAAATGAAGAAACGGGATCGGGGCGAGGAAGGAGCAAAAGTACAGCAGCAAGTCCAACCTCGTGGGTTCTAGGATGGGCAAGGGGCCAGAACCACAAAAAAAAAACAATTACGGGAGGCGCATGAGGTCTGCACCATAAACAAGCGGTACAAGAAAACAGTCACCCCTTCCCGCATGATCCGCGCCGAGCCGGCACCACAAAAACACAAGAAAATAGTCACCCCTTCCCGCATCAACCACGCCGACAAGAAGCCCACGACGGTACTATCCCTCGCTCTCTCCCGCCGATCACGACCCACTCCCACCCACCAAGTCGTCCTTCCACCACCGCCCGAGCTCCGCTCGTATCTCCCTCCTCCACTCCGCCGCCGCTGCCCCATCCTGCTCCATCGTCGCCGACACCTTGTGCCGCTCCAGGTCCGCGGCGAGCAGGTCGGCGCGGGCGAGGGGTTCCCTCGCCGCCGCCTCCGCGGCGTCTGCCCGGGCGTTCGCCGCCGCCTCCCCGGCGACGGCCGCCGCTCGGGCCGCCCCCGCGGCGACGAGGTCCTCCACCGCCGCCGCGAACCGCTTCTCCAACAGCGAGACAGCCGCGACGGTGTAGTAGCTCCATCTCCCCGTCCGCGTCGACGCCTCCTCGCCGGCATCGCCGCCGCCGAATCGAATTCCGCCGCCGCCGCTGCCGCCGCCACTGCCGGGCATCGCAGAGGAGGAGGAAGACTCTGCCAGCTGGTCGGCGTACGAAGGCTTGCCTGCGGGAGGGGCGGCGGCGGCGGCGGCGGCGGCGGAAGCGGCGGCCACGGAAGCTTCCGCCACCGCTGCGCGAGCGGACAGGCGACAGACCTCCTCCCGTGCTTCCTCCAGGGCGGTGGTGGCGTCGAGCTGCCCCCGCCGGGCGCCGGCGAGCTCCCACTCCAGCGCCCGCGCTCGGCGGACGGCGCGGGAGCACTCGGTGTCGAGACGGACCGCGGTCTCCTGCAGGAACGTCGCCGTCGCGGTGAGCTGACGCTCCGAGAGAACCGTTCCTTTGCTGCCGCCGCCGCCGCCACTAGGGACCGCCGTTTCGTTTCCCCGGCGATACCCACCACCGCTCGGACCGATGACGTCGGCGGAGGTCGAAGTTCGCTGCCGGCGGCGACGACGACGACTCTTGTTGTTGCCGTCGTTCTCGTAGTCGTCACCCATGCCGTTCGAAACAAAAGCGCGCCAATGCGCCGCGAGCTCGGCGATCGCGGCGGCCACCGGCGACGATGCCACGGAAGCCGCTACCGTCGCAGTCGCCCCGCGCCTCCGTCCTCTCGTACCGTGGCCGCACAGCGGCGGTTGCGGAAGGGAGGCGCCGTCGAGAGACAACCGGTCGGCGCATTCCTTTATCCTCGCGTCGTGCGCCTCCGAGAGACGGAGAACTTCCTCGCGGTGCTGCTGGCGATTTTCTCGGAGCTCGACGGCCAGTGCGTGGCACTCGGCCCTCGACGACGCTAACCGTTGGCAAGCGTCGTCAGCACCGAGCTCGGCGTCTCGAAGGGCCCTCCTGCAGAACAAGACCGCGGTCGCGGGAACAAGATGAGTGTAAAACGAAACTATCCGTACGGCCTCTATTGGAGAGCAAAAACAACAGCAGAGAGGGAGTAAAAGGCCAGCGAATATCGTTGCGCACAGCACAGCTCTGGTCGACCAACGGAGGCTTCGATCTACAAATCGGAAAAAACGCAGGAGTTCACACCACACCATGTGCGTGTTTTCACCACTGCCTTTCCCCGAGGCGCTCATTTTCAGCCACAGGGACAGCGGGGAACGTCTTCTAGAGTGTCGCAGAAGCGTTTGGGCTGAGGGCCCTGGCACAACAACAACAACCACCATCATGGAAATACTTGAGGCACTCTGCGAATCAGCCGACTCTTGTGAATCCTTCCTGTTCGCAAGCCGGGACACGTACGACGCCTAGTGCAAGAAAACCAGCCAGCCCATCTGTAGACAGAGGCAGTATAAACCCACCGCAGTTGAGATGCTTCCTCTCCCGCCTCCCGAAGCCTCGCGGCGCTCTCCGCACGAAGGCTGCCCAGCGCGGCGGCGGTCTTTCTCGCGGCGTTCTCCAAGGCACGGTTGCGCCTCGCCAGGTCTTCCTCCGCCCTCGCCGCCGCCCTGATCTTCCTATCCCTCCGCCCCGCCTCTGCCGCGAGTCTTTCCGCCCGCCTCTCCGCCCGGCCCTCGCGAGCCAAGGCCGAGGTGAGACGCACGGCGAGCGACACGCACCGCCTCGCCAACCCCTGCGCTCCGACGTGGTTGAGGACCCCTACCCCTTCTCCCCCGTCGTCCACACCGCAGCCAGAAACGTCGGCGGCCCAGAAGGACGACAACTTCAACGAACCCCTGCTAGTTGGCGTGCGGGCGGTCTCCCGGTCCGTCCGAAGCCGCGGGCTGGAGGCCCCGACGGCAGCGCCGTCGACGTTAACGCCGGGCGCCGCCACGCCGCCCTTTCTAGGCGACGGCGGCAGCGGCGGCGGGGCGAACGCGGGCGAGGTTTGGAGCGCCTCGACGGTGGAGGTCAGCACGCCAATCTGCGCGTCCTTCTCCGACAGCAGGGAGGTGAGTCGGTCCACCTCGATCGAGACGTTGCTGTCATCATCACCACCACCACCACCACCACCGGTGGCGTCGATCTCCCTCAGCGCCGCCTCTGCCGCCGCGCAAGCACCGGAAGAGACAAGACCGTCCAGAAGCCCGAGTTCTTCACCTTTCACACGGCCGCGGCCGCCGCTCGAAGGCTCGCTCCCGTCGTTGTCGGCGCCCGCTTCAGAAGAGCTAGGCCTCCAGGACCACCAGCCGGACTGAACCTGGCTGCGGAGGTCCCTGGTATGGGTGCGTAATGCCTCGATCTCGCCGGCGGCGAGCTCCAGCTTTCGGCGAAGCGCGGCCTCGTCGCCCTTGGTGGCGCAGTTGATGGTATAACCTTGGATGCTGCTGTTGCTGCTGCCGTCGCCGCCGCCAGCGGGGGCGGCGAGCGACCGGAGGCGGCGTTCGTCCCTGGCTTCGAGTTGGGCCGCGTCCGCACGTCGGCGCTCGGCTAGAACCTCGTTTCTCAGGCTGTTTTCATCCAAAAGCAAAGAGGGGAAACCATAAATTGAGCGTGTTTCGGGGCCATGGCTTGCACCGAAGAACGCACCCGGTCAGCTGGGAGGGGAAAAGGGGACGAGGGCGGGTGTCTGGGTTCGAGTTGGCTGGTGTACTGGCGTGCACCGCGCCGGAAGGTTTGCAGCACGGGAGACAAAACCAACAGCACAGCGGCAGCGATCCCGAAGGATATGTGGGACGCGAGCAAGCCTGAGGTGTTTCTCCCGACCAACCAAACACATTCACCAAACGTTGAAAAACGGGACGGGCGGGGGGCACGGCCCAGCTAACCGACGAGGCCTGTTTTCGTCTTCACCTCTCAACCTCTTGCTCCAGGTCTCTCCGGCGGCCGGCCTCCATGGCCGCCGCCGCCTCCTGCACTCCAGCCGCGACCCAGCATTCGTCCTCCTCTCGCCGCTCTTCAGACCGTAGTCTCCCCGGCGTACCTGAGCGTCCAGCCCCGCTGACGACGGCGGGAGCGGCCGCGGCACCGGAAGGGCTACCACCGTCCGCGGTGTCGCCTCGCGCGAGCCGGGCCAGTCGGGCGCATCGGTTCCGCATGGTCCAAACTTGATCCTCCATGTCCTTTCGTTCGGTTCACGTTTTTTTGGGGGGGGATGGATGGCGCTATGTGGTCGGACAAGCAGTGTTAAAAAAAGTGACGAAGGAGAGAGCTTGAAGAGCTTTCCGGCGAGTAGTTCATGAAAACAATCAATTCACTTCCTCGATATCTAAGAAATTGCGCGCCAACTGCAGCTGCACGAAAGTGTCGTCCAAGTCCGGCGGGGTGCAACGATCTACCGCCGTGCTACCGGCGGCCAGGCTCTTGCGCCCGCTTCTTTCTGGCGGGGGGTCCGCCCGTCCCTCTTGGTGCCGATACCGGTGTCAAAGACGCCGCAATATTTTGTGAGACACACGACATGTCTGTGGCATTCTCGTTTGTGCAGCAACTCGTTGACGGAAGGCGGTGAGGGTGGAGACACCAACACGCCTCGGACCAAAAACCCAATCGTTTCCACCGACCGTTTCACGATCTCGCGACCCGGCACCGTACACACCTTGACGCGGCGGGATTGCCGGTATAGCGTCCCGGCGAAGCGGTCTATCAGCGCCAATGCGCTCACGGTGCCCCCCGCAACCCCATCCAGAGTTTTTTCTACCGCCATCCTGTCCACCTTCCCCTGGAGGTCTTCAGCTCTTGACAACGATGCCACCGACCGCCGCTTCTCATCTCTCTGCAGTAGCGAACATATATGTGAAAAAAAAGCGGTACGATAAGGCGGTACGTGGAAGAATGAGATTACTTGTATCGAGAGGCATGAGGACGGGTGGGGGGAGGGTGCTTGAACGGGCATCTGCCGGGTAGAGCCTGTGCGGGGTGATGAAAAGACAAACATAATGCACTTAATTTCACGCCGAGCGCAAAAATCTCACGGTGACACGGTCAGTACCATCAAGCGACCCATGAACCAGTCTGGTTCAGGTGATTCCTCGTGAAGCATCGCGAGGAAACGATGCGAGTATCCTCAAGTCACCGTCGGTACAGTAGATGCCAATTTGTTTTCAAAAGAGGCTAGACCAAAACTACGGGCCAAGCGGTTGATCGACAAGCGGGAAACATTTCGTTTCGCGCTGCGGAACGCCATCCCGTCTCCAAAACAGCCCACGAAAAAATAACCTAGAAATGAAAATTCCCCGCCCCCCACAGCAGCCCCCCCTCGGGGTTTGCCATCGGGATTGGGTTTTCGTCGCTTGGCAACGACGTTGTAAAACAAGCCAATTCACTTCGTGAACTCGGCAACCAGGTTACCGTTTTTTTTTTTTTACCTCGTTTTTTTTTTTTTGGCGGTAACCATAATGGTGGTCGAGTAGATCATGTTGTGGGGGCCCCCCCCCCCTCGGGGTTGGGTTTTCGTCGCTATGGCAACGACGTTGTAAAACAAGCCGCCCCCCCTCGGTGTTTGCCATCGGGGTTGGGTTTTCGTCGCTTGGCAACGACGTTGTAAAACAAGCCGCCCCCCCCGGTGTTTGCCATCGGGGTTTGGGTTTTCGTCGCTTGGCAACGACGTTGCAAAACAAGCCCCCCCCTCGGTGTTTGCCATCGGGATTGGGTTTTCGTCGCTTGGCAACGACGTTGTAAAACAAGCCAATTCACTTCGTGAACTCGACAACCAGGTTACCGTTTTTTTTTTTTTACCTCGTTTTTTTTTTTGGCGGTAACCATAATGGTGGTCGAGTAGATCATGTTGTGCGGGGTCGAGAACCCTCACTCCGCGCAACGGGGGATGATCGCACCACGTTGTGTTAAAATGGTCAAGCTTCCTCGAGGCAGTTACACAGTGCTTACAACTGTCTCTGGAAGTGAAAGCACCAGAAAGTAAATTAAGTCATACGTAGCTGTCATCCGTACGCAAGGAAGTAAGCACAAGATGCCGAACACCCTTAGCAGGATGCAGCTCACCCTTCATGCGACTCGCCAAATACCTCACGGCGCTTCGCGCTTGGTGATGTGAGCGCCTGGTCCGGTGAGAACCCGGCATGCTCCGTCCCGGCTTT